TTTTGGTGCCACAAATCTTTATCAGTCTCATTCAACAGCACCTATATGATGATGATGATGATGATGCTACATGCCAGCCGAATGATTCACAATGGAAAGCTCAGTGGTGTCTTTGAAGTTGAAAATAACAGTAATAAGACAAGACTGACCTCGCCTGGTCAACTAGTTGACTGGTTATTAGCCGATCGTATGTCTGGGTTAAGAGGGAAGGTTGGGCATAGGCCTGGGAACCCTACCCCGTGAATCAAATCTAACCGTTAAAGAAACTTCACAACACCAAGTATAAAAAATAAAGACAAAATTACTCCTCGCTGGAATCGGAGAGACGAAATGACGCCAGTTGGTGAAAGCCTTCGGGAAGCCAATTGGCCGATGTGTCTTCTCTCGATGAATGCGAAAGTAAACGTGGGGACATGGAATGTTCACACGATGTTTGAATCCAGCAAGGCAGTTCAGATTGCAAACGAGATGAGGAGGTATCACACTGAAGTGCTTGGAATTTGCGGAAGCAGATGGAATGGGAGTGGACTCTCCAAACTGTCAACTGGAGGATCAATAGTCTACTCCGATATTGTCACCCAGAAGACAACAACTAGCACACTGAGTTGTCGAGTGACTATCATGATGTCCCCAAGAGCATCGAAGGCTCTTATGCAGTGGGAACCAATCTCCTCCAGGATCATGACAGTAAGGTTCAACTCAAAAGGAAGGAAAGTCACAATCATACAATGCTATGCACCTACAAGTAATGCAAAGCAAGAGAAGAAGGAGGAATTCTACAGACAACTGCAATCAACACTGGACAAGACCTCAGTTGGCGATATCAAAATTCTAATGGGAGACATGAATGCCAAATTGGGAGCAGATAACAGAGGAAGAGAACTCATCATTTGTCAAGAAGCGCTAGTTGAAATGAACGATAATGGAGACTTGTTTGCAGACGTCTATGCATTCAACGATTTTGGTGATTGGAGGTGAGGCAGTGTGTTCAAGCACAAGGATATCCACAAAGCAGCGACATGAATTTCACCAGACAACAGGACACACAAAAAATCAGATTGGCTTTATCTCAATCTCAAGGAGGTGGAGACGCAGCCTACTTGACAAAAAATGAAGAAGGGGAGCAGATGTAGGTTCAGACCACACACTATCTAGTGCAAGGAACCTTCCAGATCAAGTTAAAAGCCTTCAAGGAAGCTGGTGATAGACCGCAGTTCAAGTATAATACTCGGAAACTGAAGGATGAAACTACAAAAGAAATCTTCACGTCAGCCATCAAACAAAATGCGAGATATCGAGGGACATCCCTGAAGAAACCTCTTTGGATGAGCACTGGAACTCTTTGAAAGAGATGTGGAACCAAACCTGCACAGCCGTATTAGGAAGGAAGAAGAAAGAAGATAAGGAATAGATCTCGATGGATATATAGAAGCTGATAGAGGAGGGAGAGGAGGGTGGTGAAGCAGAAGATAAGCCAGTGCAATGATGCTCAACGACAAGAGGAACTGAGTACAATGTATAAAACATTGGACTAAAAAGTGGAGAAGAGTGCACGGAAAGACAAAAGACTCTTCTACGACACATTGGCAGTGAAGCAGAACAGGCTGCAGGTAAGAGAGACCTGATAACACTATTTCAAGTAAACAGATTACTATATGGAAAGAGATCAACACACATGAGACCAATAAAAGATGATGGGGGAAATACAATTATTAAAGAAGAGAAACAAAGGAAACGATGGGCTGACCACTTCAAGAAGCTCTTTAATCAACCACCACCTGCACTTTGTCCAGAAATACCACCTGCAGCCACAGAACTGCAAGTGAACACGAATCCTCCAAAAAGGTCGAAGTCCTGAGCGCCATAAAGCTACTGAAATGTGGGAAAGCAGCTGGACAAGATGGAATCCCGCCAGAAGCACTGAAAACAGATGCAGAGACAACAGCGGACATGCTCACACCACTATCGCAGAAGGTGTGTAATGAAGAGAAGGTACCTGCAGATTGAAAGAAAGGCTACCCTGTCAAACTCTCGAAGAGAGGAGACCTGTGTTTGCAAGAACTGGCGCGGATCACTCTCCTGTCCATCCCAAGCAAAATATTAAGCCGCATCATCCTGGAGAGGCTAAAGGATGCGCCGGATTCAAAGCTACGACCGGAACAGGCAGGCTTCAGGAAGTACGAATCATGTGCAGACCAAATCACAGCGCTTCGCATCATCATAGAACAGAGTATAGAATGGCAATTAACCCAACTCTACCTCAACCTCATCGACTTTGAGAAGGCCTTTGACAGCGTCGACCGAGAAGTAATTTGGAAGCTGCTTCAATACTGCGGAATAACGCAAACCATTTTATCAGCCTCATTCAACAACTATATGAAGATGCCACATGTCAAGTGATTCAAAATGCGAAGCTCAGTGATGCTGTTGAAGTGAAGACAGGAATGAAACAAGGTTGCCACCTACTATCACCCATGATATTCCTGATTGCGGTCGACTGGACTGGATCATGCAGCAAACAGTGGGGAGCGAGAAGAGGGGAATACGCTGTCTGGACTGCGGAAAAGGACCTAGAAGATCTGGATTTCGCCAGTGATGACTTGTGTCTGATGTCACACAAAGCTGAAGATCTACAGGCGAAAACTAACAAGTTGTCAGAAGAGGCAGGGCAGTGGAGACGGGACTTCAAGTGAATATAGAGAAGACAGAGGTGATGAAGATACCCAACCAACACCACCAACAACAACAAACTCCAGTCACCATCAACGAGAGAAACTTAAAGGTAGTAACCTCCTTCACCTATCTAGGCAAGCAGCACTGTTTCAACTACAGGCGGCACAGGCACAGACGAGGATGTCAAAGTCAGAATCGGAAAGACAGCAAGACAGGCGTTCATTGGCCTGAAACCAGTGTGGAGATCTTCTGCACTGCACTCAGTATGTGGAACAAGATGCGGATTTTCAACACCAACGTGAAGTCAGTGCTTCTGTATGGCTCAGAGACTTGGCACGTTACAAAATGGATATTCAACAAACTACAGACATTGATCAACAACTGCTTACGCTGGCTGGCTACTGAAGATGAGATGGCCAGAATAATAAAAATAAGCAACAAGGAACTCTGGGAACGAACCAACCAAGAACCTATCGCTCAACAAATATGTACTGGAAGTAAGTGGAGATGGGTTGGACATTCACGCGCCAGGGCCTGGCCCTCGAATGGAACCTACATGAGAGGCGACGAGTTGGGCGTCAGCGGTGAGGGTGATATGGAGGAGATCGTGAGAGGAGGAAAAGAGAGCTTATGGGCTGTCGTGTAACCAGGTTCGAAAGATCTTAAAGAACAGAGGTCACTGGAGACGTTCTACTGAAGCCCTATATTCCATTAGGAACCCAAAAAAAATAATTATAAAAAGACAAGACTGCCTACTATCACCGATCATCTTGCTGATTGTGGTCGACTAGACTGGATGATGCAGCAAACCGTGAGGAGTGAGAAGATGGGTATAGGCTGGTTGGCTGGCTGGCTGGCTGGACCGATGGAAAGAACCCAGATGAAGATTTGATTT